ATTCTTAATATTGAAATTTTTTATTTGTTGTACCATCTTTTAATTGCGCCTAGGGTTTTTATCTTTGCTCATTATAACGCTTATGCCCCTAGCATTTTTTATGTTATTTTTATCCTCAAAACTTTTCATTATTTAACATATTTTATATTTGATAATAGTTTTATGTCTAAATGTTTGTTGAAATAGTGTAAAACAACTTAATTTTTCATCATATTTAAAAAAATAAATAAAAAGTGCAAAAAATATTTTTTCCTCACTTCAAAGCATGAAAAATAAAATATTTTTGATATAAATCATCATCAAAGACGAGCCGTACTAATTAATGAAAGATTGAAGATAAGAATTTGACAAAAAAAGTTAAGAACATAATTGTGCCAATGAGCGAAGATTGAAGAGATTAACTGCAATTAAATATGGTTTGTCAAATAAAAATTGTGGTGGCAATATAACTACCCATGCATGTATTATGTATATATTAAAAAATTATTAAAATTTATTTTCAAATTAATATTAAATAATTTCTCTAGTCACCCATAAAAAATTGAAAATGCTACTATACCTTCAAGAATACATGTTAAAAAATAAATGTAAAAAATAAATGTGTCGTATGTCTCTGACTCTCTTATATTAAATTCTTAGACAAGGTAGTTAACAATTACATATTCAATAAAAAAACCTTAAAATGATTAACTCTTTCCATTTATGAATGCCATGTCCAATTATCCATGACAAGTTGTCCATAGATTCGTATTTTTGGTAGACATTATTATTATTATTATTATTAATGGGTGGTAGAAATGTTTAATAATTGGACAATATCTTTTTCAATTTCATAGAAGTAAGACGACCGGATCCAAAAAAGAAAGAAAAAAAGTTAGGGAAAAATATATAATTTCCCCACTCAAAATTATTTTCTTCCCTTATTTCCTCAAAACTTGTCAATCTCAAAACTATACATATGCATGTACAATAATTTTTTTTGATTGTTTCATCTTTCTTCTTCAACACTTAGACGACGACTAAGATCATTCTATCTCTTTGTAGAAAAAAGTACATCATTTTGTTCGAAGTTACTGGTGAATTTAGCAATTCAAATGGAGCACGCAAATTTGGTAATCATGTTCTATTATATATTTTGCCTTTTTCCAAATAATTTCAGTACTTTTTTCTACGTATGCATAATTTTATATTTTATGTATATTCATATATCATTTGCTTTCATGCAGAGCTGTATTTTGAAGGTGAATAGTCGTTGCAATGCATGTAAGAGGAAGGCGTTGGAAATATTGAACTCCATTTGCGGTAATCAATTACAATGAATAATATTATAAAAGTTTTTCCGACGACCTACGACTCTCTTTATATATTTTTTATAGTAAACATGATTTTCTTTAATTATATCGTGTTTGTTTATAAACTTTGGCAAGGGGTGTATTCCGTGACATTCAATGCGGAAGAAGGGGTAGCGAAAATAGTGGGTGAAGTAGATCCGAATCTACTTCTTGCAGCCTTGGCAAGAACTGGACAACATGCAGAACTTGTATGGGCCAAACTCGACCATCCAAGAATAGATAGAGGTTATTATAATGATCATGACTATCATGGTGAACCCTATAGGCATCATCAAAGGGCATTGCCGGAATATTCCTCTTACAACCCAAACTACTATTATGATGCTACTCCACTTCCCTATGATGAAGATCAATCCATGAGTTTTTGCACTATAATGTGACTAAGGTTACAAATAGGTTTTCTTGGGATGTTTTGCATTTCACTTTCTGATACTGACTGGATTGCCAAAATGGGCTTTATGTTATGTGCATTGTCAAGGTTTAAAGAATAGTTGAGATATAGTTTTTCTTATTTATGATATGTATTGCTACAAGTTTTTCTGCCTCGGAAAGAAGCATCCGTGCGTACTTCAACTTATCTAATTCTCTTTCAGACACTGAAAAACTCTAGGTACTGGTACTTTTAAATGAATGTAAATAACTCGAAGACAGGGTAAACCATGTGAATAAATTTTAGACAGACGAGGAAAATTTAGATACAATAAAGCAGGACACAACAGAATATTCTGCTGAAACCTATTTTCAGTTCGATTGAAGGGCAACAGACTACACATATTTGATTGTTTATACAAGGAGACAGAAGTTGCCAGTAGATCTAGCAACCAACAGAATAGTTTAGGGATTTATAATCTAGAATATATAATGATTAGAATTAGCGAATCGCCAAATATACAATTCCCAAAAATTTCTCACATACAATCCAATTTTTCTTCAAACAAGACGAATTGAACCTTCCATTCAAGAAAGAGAGAATCAATCAGACCTAGATGGATAAATGATTTGTAGCATTGTTAATCAAGACATTTTTCGTGGGTGGCAGGCAGAAGTAAATAATAATAAATTATGGAAGAAGTAAGACATAATGAATATGACATGCCTGAGGCGATCTCCAAACATGTAGATCCAACAAGATAACGGGAGATCACATTAATCTCTGGGGAACCAATTGAATGCATGAAGATGAAGGATAAACATATTGAATGGACAAGTAGAAAATCCATAACATCTCGAATCGCTTCTTTATCCG